TTAAAATTAATAATACTAATAAATTACTAGGTATTCTATTATATTTTGTATGATTAGAACTTTATACCAACTGAATATGTAATTTTTTTAAATTTACAAATTACATATTTATCATTTTTTACTATTAATTAGTCCTTCAATTATTCATAGGACCATCATGATCGGATGATCCTCTAATAATGTGAGAATGATAATAATGTTTTTCATAGTAAGAACTATCATGATCCTCCAATAATGTGAGGACAATGATGTCCTCCATTGTGAGGACCATCATGGTCCTCCAATAATGCGCGGACAATAATGTCTTCCATTGTGAGGACCATCATGGTTCTCCAATAATGCGCGGACAATAATGTCCTCCATTGTGAGGACCACCATGGTCCTACAAAGTGAGGACAATAATGTCCTCCATAATGAGGACTAACATGGTCTATTGCAATATGAGAATGATAATGTCCTTGATGGTGAGGTCCAGTATGGTCCATTATTATGGACAATAATATCCTTACTTTTAGACCAATCAGAACCCGTAGGCTGTATATGCCCATGGGTAGTTTATAAGCTAGGATCTGGTGCGCAAAACTCCAGCTTATAAACTATGTCGATCATTTGGCTGGGGTGAATATCACATTCATTAAATCACGTGCGTACTCTTCATCAAACAAGAATGATCACAAAACTTTTTTACGCTTTTACTTTGACATTTATATACTATGTTGTCAACAATATGAAAAATAACATTTTTCCATATCATATACCGTTAATCTTGATAATAATTCTGACACTGATTCTTCTTATTATCAACACCTTTTTTATGGTTCTTGTATAAAAGTTCCAAGCACTTTTATTATGTCATCAGACCGTCATGCATGTGTCATGCATCAAAAAGATTTTTTCAGAAAATTACTAAACCATCCACTTTAGGATTGTAGACAATGTATACATATCAAAAGGGATAAGAACTTGCATGGGAACAAAACTTTTCAATCATGGCAGAATCGATCTACCAAACATTTTTTCTAACCGCCTAGACACTTACGATATCAAATGCCAAGCTAATGGACGTAACAACATTTGACAAAAGAAATCACTATATGTATAGCAAACAATATACAAACCCTCGTTTCGCTCCGAGTAAAAATGAATTTTAGTAGTATTTGCAACCAAGTTTTTAAGCTCAATTCGCAAGAACTTATCATTGAAATGATCGTTTAATAAAAATTTTCCTTTTCAAAGAGTCACAATATATCGAAGATCTATTAAACATTTTGAAATATAAATCGAATAGCCAATGCATCGGATTATTCTTTTCTTGTTCCTTTTTCACATTCAAGCCGCTCATATGCAAACAGATCATAGAAAATTATCTTCTTTAACAACATTGACAGATGTAGATTACAATTCTCAACGCGAAAATAATACACCTAGAGTAACACATGTATCTTTATAGTGTATACCGTCTCTGAATTTTACCTTTGCCAGATAATGTGTATGTCCATCCAGAAATTTGAAATGCATTACAACGTCGTATTGTTATATATGTAATAATACAACCGCAACTCTATAATAAATGTGCAACTTTTTCCGCAATTCCGCAGTTGAAAATTTGTAATTTTTTTTTCCGGTAAACAGTAACTGTAAGAGAACATATTACATAAAAAAAAACAGAAATACATTGAAATTTGGTGACAGTTGAAACAACCATCACCAAATCTCTCCATACTGTACCATCACGCTTCGTATAATAAAACGTCAGATTGAATGTAGTATACTAATTAGTCAGTTAATCGTTATAAAAATTATCAGAACGTGTTTTTGGCTTGGTCCTGAACCATTAATCTTATTTCCAGGAATCAACAATTTTTTGAATAATTAAAATGTTAGTTTTGTATTATAAGCTATATACATTATATTCCTACGCCTCCTTTATTATTTACGTTGGGTTATATACGGTAAATATGTTTTTGATTCATACCGCCGATATGATTAAAAAATTTTTTCAACGACATAAAAAATATTTTTTTTTGCGCATCCATATTTCTTTTGACAATTTATAAAATAAGAAATTTTTTTTATAAGAATAAAACCTTTATTTATAATTAATTTTGTAAAAATGTGAAATATAATATCCTTGATTTGTCTTAAGACTTTATCTTATTAAATAGAGTTTTGGTTTATCAATGCAACTAATTTACAGATGATATTACAATTACGTTCATCTTTTGACTAAGCGAGTTAATAAATTATAAACTAAATTATAATCCCTGAGTTTGAAAAAAATGTGAAAAAAAAAAATTAAATTAGTAAAAATACGATTAAAAAAACAACAAAAACAACGCACTTAAGAAAAAAAATTACAGGATCTTTATTTTTTCTTTTGGAATACCAATTTAGGATCAAATTCTTGTTCATCCTATTTTTATATGAATTAAAATTTATAAACGAATCTAATTAGGAAAACAAAAATTCGATGAATAAAATTTTAACATACCACATCATTTTTTAAAGCATTCGCATATCCCTTCAAAATTTTTACAACTGTATTGTCATCATCAAAATGTTTAAGAAGTTTTGTAATGTCCCGCAAATCAAGTCCGGTGCTAGATAATAATTGCCCTGTAAAAGAATAAGCCATTGGAGCATCTGCGCCAATATCCTCCAAGAATTCAAAAGTAGCTGTAAACCCAGCTTTAAAAATATCAGTATCACAAGTTCTGGAGGATACAATTTCTTTGAACAATTTCATAACATTGTCCACATCTCTCTGCTTTTTCTCGATTACTTTGTTTACGAATGTTTCTATTGCTTTTGGATGGTATTTTACTGGGATATCCTCCTTAAGGCAAGTGATGACCTCCTGAAAAATAATATAACCATATTAGTTGCAATATAGAGAAATCTTACTATATTAATTGCACGTACTTGACTCTCCCATATTGAGAAGAATTCTTCCACCATATTGTTAATACTGTTACAGATTTTCTTTGTAACTAATTCTTCTTTTGTTTGTGCTGATGATGCCATCCTGAAAGTAGATTTAAATGCCAAATTTACAGGCTCTTCAGGTGTGAAACTCTTTGTGCGTGGGGCTAAAATTAATTTTTTACGCGCCGTTGGTGAGGAGGGTTTTTGAGCGTCTAAAGAAATTGATTCAGAGCTCTTTCTTCCCCCCGAGCTCTCTGAATTTATTACGCTATATATATTCGTTGTTGAATTCATCCTACTAAAGCTCATAGGTTTATCATCCCGATCTTTATTATCACTCTTGTTCCAACCTTTAGCCCCTCCTGATAAGCTTCCTAATATGCCTCCCGATGCTAAACTGACGATTTTACTACGGTTAACTGATCCAAATTTAGTAAGATCACCAACTTTTTCTTTATTCCAACTTCCACCAACGGTACTCCATCCATCTGGTGATTGTATCATTCCTTTGTCTGATCGATGTTGACGACTTGAACCACTGCGCGGCATTTGCTCTGCCATTTTAGGCATACCTAAATTTTAATTATGATTAACAACAGTATAAATAAAAACTATCACGATTCTAAATGAACTTACCTCTGGCACCCGAACTAGCTGTTCGTCTCGGAAATTTGGATTCCTTTTCTCGCTTTGCAATCTAAGATTAATAAAGAAAATTGTTTAATTTTTGTAATAAATATGAATATGATATTTTATATAATCACTATAATATTTTATTACATCATTGTGAATTTCTCGTCTAGGTTTCCAAGCGTTATTTCGTAAATCGATAACATCCTAAAAGAAATATATATATTTATTTATTTATAAATAGAATGAGCGATATAATAAATATAACAAGAAAAAAAAAAATTATTTACCATTAACATAAATTTTATGCGGTTTGACAAATTTGGAAGCTTCGATATCTCCTCCATACGATCAAAATAAGATTCCATATATTTTTTTGCTTTTGCACGATCAAGTTGAGTCGATTTCATTTGTTCATGTGGATTTGGTTTGACATGATCAAGTTGTTCTCCTACTGTATTCATTAATTTACATAAACTTTCCATTTCTTCTTCTTCAGGTGAGCCTTTAAATATTAATAATTTCTTTATACATTCATGCATAATACGTTCTGTAAGCATATTCGATTTAAATATTTCGCCAATGAAACATATTAGACCAAGGCCTTGTCTTTTAGCCCTTGCAGCTACATAATATTCATCTGACAGTTCCCTCTTTTCATTGGAAGGCACTGGAACGTTAACCTTCCAACCTTTCTCGAATTCTTCTTGACAACGATTAAGAAGATATTTTCTAAATAATGTACCGCCTTGAATAAATTTACCCTCAGTATTTTTAACATTTTCATCAATTATTTCGGGGTCAACTCTTTCCATCACAATACGACAAAGCTGAGCGTATATTGCACAGTATCTTGTGTCATCAAAAGAACTCACAAATATTAGACGAGCCACTTCTCTTAATATACGTCCATCTCTTTCATCTTTTGACTTATTAGCATAATCAATAATTTGGCTCGATATGGAATCAAAATTTTTCAACGTCAATTTATTCAATAACACCTTAACTTCACGTTGTACTGCGTCAAGAGGGATGAAATCTTCAGTTAACTTAGGCGAAGAATTATCTAAAACTTGAGGAACCCATCGATTCTTTGTATCATATGACTTGCTATCTTCAAGTAAATTTTGTGAAAAGTTATCATCACTCATTTTTATAATTTTAACGTTAACGAAAGAAAGAGAGAAAAATTTAATCCCAATTTGAAAATGGTTCAACCCTTAAATAATCAATTGCTGTGTTTTGTGCAACATGAGTTCGTAATCTGTGTAACAATCACTACCAATTTGAAAGTTGAATTAGCAAAAACACTAATTTTTGTTCAGTTGAAAGCGATAACTGCTAGAAGTCTATACGCATACTTTTATTTAGGATGCACGAAGATCAAAAGTTCATATGGTGCATATATAATGAAATTAAAGAAATAATATGATTAATTTGGGGTAATCAATGAATATAATGAAATAATAATCTAAAAATGTTGATAAAAAAGAAATCTCGTGAGTCGTGAGATAACAAAATCCATGATTGATGCATATTATTTCAATTTAATAATTTAATAACGTTATTATCAAAAGTAATTTTTATGATGAAGGAACTAGTGTTTCAAATGTTTAAACCAGAGGTTCATAATTAAATAAAAAGGTGATTATTCCGAATACATAATTTCATCTATTTCATCACCTCGTATAGCACATGAAGATCATACAGGAAATAATAAATAGAAAAAAAAATCAAAAAATAATACTCTTGTCATTTTACCATAGTAACATCAAAAAATACTGCACTTAAATATACATGATATATACTATATATAGCATTGGACAAAAAAAATTATATATTTTATTATAAACGTTACAAATAATTATATTTATATTAAATAAATAAACTTGTAAAATTATTGATAGTAATCATCTTATCCTCGATAAGTTTTTTCATTCCATTTTTTTGTTAGTGATAGATTATAATGCTTCACCTGAATAATATACTTCACACCATTTAAAGGTTTCTTCATTTCAAATGACGAAGTTATATAACTCTTTTTTGTTGGGTTCATAGTAGGGATGTGCCTGCAGCTGTGCCGTGCATGCTATTACAATAAAAAACACTATTAGCGAGCTAAAAGATTTTCTTATTAGAGAGAAAATTGACGCTCATAGCGAAAGATGTTAAACTTTGGAAGATCGAAATTCCAGGTAATCACGATGATGAATTAGCAAATTTCCCTCTTCAAGATTTATATGCTTCTTTTCATCCGCAAAATTGGTGAATATTGGGAAAATATTCCACCAAAACGATCGATATATTCATGTTATTATAATCTTTTAAAAAATGCAATACAAACTCTCTTCTGCATCAACAGTCTTCTCAACGATCATATACATCGAATCAAAATTAAAGGAATGGATCAAGAGAGGAAATCTTTATGAAGACAGAGAGTTGATCACGAAAGTGTTGTTCCATGCCTTGCTCTCAGATATCCCAAATTACCATAGACGTTTGCCACAATGTATCCATTTATGCCAATCTTTTGATAGCTGAGCTCAAATCAGCTGATAATGCAAAGAGGAATCGGTTTATTTTTGAGTTTAAGAATAAAAGTATATTTTCAATGATACTCGTAGGTAACTCCTCAATTATGTTCACGATTTAAAAGATTGACTTTCATACTTCGGCATTGTTGTAATGTCGATCGGTGGGTTCGAAAGATTGGTACATTTGGCATGCCCTACAAAATTCAAATAATTAAAAAATAGTTAGTTACTGATTAACTTGAGATGAATATCCCTCATCAAAAAAATAACTAGGTAAGTGCGATACTCCGTTCAGGCTGTAACCTTGGATGCAACAGGGTGGAAACCAACCCTATCGTGAACCCTGCAGTGCGCACCACCCTTCATACTGTACTTACCATATATAGTGGCCCCTATTATGCTTGACTTAAAAAAATGATTTCTTATCACAATGTCTTTGTCATTTTAAAAGAGGAAATTACTTTTAAAATGAATAATCGAATGAATTTCAACATAAACAATATTTCAACATGGACAAATTGTTAGCAGTTTGTTAAAAAATAATTAAATAATTTAAAAAAGAAATAGATTTACAAAATGGTATAATCAAATTTTGTCCTCTTTTATATTATTTTCTCATCATGTGATATGAGTCTAACAATGTAAATATTAGTCTATTACATAACTATATGAATAATTAATTAATTTTAATTGTCATATTGAAAAAACTTTAATATTTTATTAATAGCATGCAAAAAAATTAAGCCATATTTAGCAATGTCATAGTGATATAATTTTAATATTCTATCAATCAGAATTAAATCAATCAAATTTTAAAAAAATACCAATTACTCAGATATTCGGATAAATTAACCGTTTATCCGGATGCCCAGATTAAATGAGACCCCAACAAACTCTACTATAGAACTTAAATAATAATAACTAATTACTGATAAAAACAAATATGGTTATACATGAAACCGAAAAGAATAAATGGAACCGAAAAGAATAAATGGTTATTGTTACATAGTAAATTGAAAAGGTAAAGTAAATTATCGCTATATAGTAAATTGAAAAGAATAAAGTAAAATAAGTATAAAGAACAAATATTTTAGTCTAATTAATTGCAAAATATTTAGATTATATCAAGGTGTGGATGGACTATTTCTGCTATCAAAGTATTGTTTAATTAATACTCCTAATATACCACCTATTACTCCAATTATCGCGGTTGCAATTGGCACACCAATTGCTATATCTCTTTCTTTTTTACAATCAGGAGGCTCAACATATTTAGAATAGCAAAGTTCTCCACTGAAACTGGGGTTAGGGCAATTAATGTTTACAAAGTCATCAACCTTAGCTTGTATACGAAATAGACGTTGTTTATCAGCAATAACGTTAACACCGATGTTTTTTACGACGTTCAGATCATTATTTGTAAAGGTGCGCACGTTAAAGTTGCCTCCTCCACTTTGGGATACCACTTGAATCAAAAGAGTTGATGCTCCACAAGGCATACTATGAATAAAAGTTGTATCAATATTAGAAGACAAAAAGTTAAAGTAAATAAATTTGACCCAACATCTGCTTAAGTAAATTTATTGTTCGGTGGAACAAAATTATATACTTACTCAGTCAGTGTAAAAGTTATATTTCCGCCACTAAATGAGTAGAAGTTATCATTATCATTCCAGTTTCCATCCGTCCTCAAACCATTAGTGATTTCTTCGCATTTTGCATCAACATGATAAGAAAGGGAAATGAAAAGAAAGAAAATAAGAAGGTATGTTTTAAAAATTTTATTTGAAGTCATGGTTTTAGTAATTATTGTCTGTTTTAGTGGGCATACGGACGATTTTAAGTGATTATATAAAAATTCATGAGCTAAATAACGTCACAAAGGCTGTGTAACAGAAGATTTTGAAAAGAAGTTTTTTCATAATTTTTTCATTTTAAATGAATCCTTATTTGGTGTCTTTAATTGAATGGAATTCGTATAATAATTACAGAGTATTATGAATCCAACTGAGCCTAATGAGCCTAATGAAGGGTTTTTCTTATAAAGTTGGAATTAATGAAAGCTTTCAAGTTGAATAGTTTTTCGAAAATGGTTAGCACTTAGCATCAAATTACGTATTTTTTGCCCCATTTAGTTTTAAATCAATGTAGATCCTTAATATGATTATGATTATCAAAATTTTCATTATAAAAAAGAGATAAATTTTTCTCTGACTATTTTAATTATTTTTGCAACACTAGTATTAGTTGAGTTAATCGTATTATTAATAATAAATATTTCGTGACGAATATATATTTTCCAAATTAGTAAAATAAAAACAAAATATTTAATTATTGTTTATTAGATGAAATAAAAATGTCTTTTAAAATAAACTTTATTTATTCTAAAACACTTCACTACCAAATTTAAATTTTGTATGATTTCAACACATGGGTAATATACTTAACATAGAAGGGAAAGACTTATTTTAATTCTGTTTCATGCGATATTAAAATAATTATTGTAAATGAATTACGCATCGTGCTCAACATATTGACTATAGTATTGATAAATTACATAAATAATACTCAATATACTCTAAATAAATTATTTACCGCACACGTTGCGTCGTTGCGTGCCTCCGAAGACAAGTATAGATCACACGCTCTATTCTTTCGAACGATGTTCTTTTTATTTAGAGGATTCAACGCCTTGTCCTTCAACAAACTATTTAACGCACTTACATATTCTTCGGCTTCTTACTGAATTTGATAGAAGGAGGGTTTCACTCGCTTGAGAAATATCATTATGACTGAGTTAAACAGGCAAAAATGCATTCCCTGCTACAAAGATAATAATATTTCAATTAAACAATGATACATTTGACTCTATTGATACTTGCTAAGAGTTTCATACAAGATGTGATGATTAATCACAATCATTATCTTACCGTATTCATTGTTTTATTCGAGCTTTAAATGCTTAATACCTGTGGAACCAAAATAAAAAATATTCGTTAGCATAATCTGAGCATTAAACTCAATTCACCACCATAATAATAGCCTTTAAGTATGTTACACCGAACTTTATTTCTAAGGTTCTTTGATTTCCTGTAACAAAATACACATTAATACCTGATTCAAAAAAACGCATTAAACCGGTGGCTACAGAAAAATAAATACTAAGGATACTCTCATCACTATTTATTTCGTTCAGACGCCACTCAAAAACCTTCTTTTATGATATGAAAAATCATATAGATTTATTATCGAAACGTACTCATTACGCATTGATACCAAACAAAAGTATATATTGTAAAATCAAGATTCTGTAATGTTTTATTCTTAATAAAATATACATTTGCGCCTAACACTACTATCTTCGTTATGAATTTATGAATTTTCGTGAAACTGTCGATTTCAAATAATGGATTATATGTATATTTCGCTATAACAATTTTCGAATGAAATCCACCTCCTCTTTTGCTTTACATTCCTTAGCGAACTTTGCGAATCTTTTTCCGGTTCACTAACCATCCCCCCTTTCCAAATTTTTTGGTTCACGTAAAGGAAGTCATAACCAATAAACCTCTTATTGATAATTTTATTAAAACTATCATTATGCTGCTGAGGTATACCCAGGATGAATTTTTAGTGGTGACCTAATTATCCAGAAATCAGTAGCGTTGGGAAATATTCTATAAAGCTTTAAACTAGTGTTAGTCGCCGTAATAGTTGTAACTGGTTGTAACGTATTTGCCGTAAAGTTGCAACTTTGTGTATGTGTCACGTGACTTGAATAATAACTAAGTGATCAACAATTAAATAACCTCGGTAACATTTTATTGGAGGGCATTAGAATCTCGTATAACGTCACATGATATACAGTAATGCGAAAAAATTGACCTGGCATTACGAACTTGGCTGAAATCAAGCATAATTCCAACTTAATACGTCATTTTCGTAATTTTGAGTAGAAGTCCAAATCGTAATCTGAAATGCCGTAATTATTACCTACCTTACTTTAAAACCCTACTTTCAAACCCTACTTTATTAGAAATTGTACGATAACTTTAATTTTTTTTTTTACTTTTACTATATTTAATTTCTACTCTGAAACGTGGCTTAAACGGGAAGCGGGAAACAATGTTGATCATTTCCTCGTCAACAAACGCCATTATCTCATTTGCTAATTTGTAATGAATTTAAACTCCGGTTTCTTTTTCTTTAAGCATAATGCCTTCCTTTATCGAAAGTATAAAAATAACTATGGCGTGCATCCCATATAAAATCTTTATTAGGTTTTTTATAAAAGTAGTGTAACCCAAGAATTATAAAGTTAACAATCAAATTTACGAAAATGGTGGAATTCAAAAAAAAAAACCAAGGATTATATTACCATTTTAAAAAGTACATACATTTTGAATAAGATTTTCACAATTACTTTAAATTAATCATTATTTATGCATTATATTTTCTTATTATTATTATACAATGATTTTTTAAAACAAATTTTTCTCACAATCTTTTTTTCTATAACTTTCGAAACGTCAATCCTGTTCTACAAAATTTTAATTATTGGTCTAAGGGACCTTGGTGTGGATTATCATTTACCTTATTATGAAATTCAAAAGTTACAAATAAAAATATGAAAAATTTTTAACATAAAAATAATTGAGCGATAATTTGTTTTTGATTTAATAAAATCATACAAATAGAAATGTAAAGAAATTGTCATAAGGCGTATACCAATACGCCAATCAAAAAATAAAAACTTGGAATGTTCGGTTAGTAGTACGAATGACTCATGTTTTGAAGCGTGGAATGCTTATTCCGTATGTATCCGAATTTCCGGATACATCCGATCATATATTTACTTAAACTTTGCCAAATGCCAATATGCCAATATTGAATGAAATTCAAAAAATATTGTATGTTTACACTCTTATAAATTCAGAACTTCCACTTAGAAAATTAAATTTCATTTAGATAATCTATTTAAAATATGCCGGATTAAAAAGAATTTTCGCAGTAATATTATATACAATTTTTTTACCCGATTAATTTTCGAAATGATTTTCATTCAAATAATAATGCATAAATTGCTTATCATAATACAATGAACCACAATTACAGATTTGTTACCTAAATTAGGGATGTCGATCGTTATGATTCTATTTTTAGAACGATCATTAATCCGCTAAGAATCTTGGGATTTTCTCAAATTTAGTATATATACCCTTCCAAGAAATTCAGATCAAATTAAACTAATAATATTTTATTTATTTATTTTTTTTTTTTAAATTAAAAAAAAAAATCCTACGAACAAACATTTTTAAAACAAATTTACACTATTACAACTTTATTTTTCTAAACAACAATGTTATCCACAATTATCTCTTCGTTTCGAAGTTCTGATATTTTTTCTTTGTCGTTAACTTTCATAGTTATCTATATAGTTCAATATTATTACAAATATTTTACTCGTCCAAATCCTTTACCTGGTCCATTCCCACTTCCATTACTTGGTAATGGTCATCAAATAGTTGGAACTGACTTTAATAAGTGGTTAATGTCCATGTATAAAAAATATGGTGATATGTACGAAATAAATGTGGCTGGATCACGTACAATCATGTTAAATAATGAAGATTTAATTGGAAGCATGAATGTACCTTCAACAAAAACCAAATATCCTATTAGATTTCAACCTACAGAAGGTTTTAAAGAATATGGATTAGGTGGAGTAGGAGTTGCTAATAATAATGAATTTAAATCCTGGAAATTTAATCGTCAATTTTTCTCTCAAGCTATGATGACTCCAAGTTTTAATCATCAAGCTATTGAATGGACGATCGAATTATGGGAACAAATGGAATCTCATTGGAAAAGTCTCGGTGATAATCATGAATTAGACCTTAGTAAATGGATGCATAGATTTACAAATGATATGATCTTTAGAGTTTCAACTGGGGTAAAAAATGATGCTGTTACTTCTTACTATCATACTCTTCTTGAAGATAATAATCAATCTTTAAGTGAAAAAGAAAAAGAAAAAGATAGAGAATCAGAACGTTTTATTCAATCAATTCAAATCTTTATCAGGGGATTTATGCCATTCTTTGCTTTAAGTAAATATATTCGTCATTATGTTCCATTCGTTCGTGGAAAAATGAATAAATTAATAGAAAATAGAGATTATTTGATAGATAGTTTACATAAAGTTATTAAGCAAAGAAGAATTGAAATTGAGAATACACCATTAGACAAACCTCTTTGTCACGATATGTTGACATCATTTATAACCGCAAATACTCCACGTGATATCAATGTTGAAAGACATGTCGATGCTGATTTGTTGAGACCAATGACCGACAAAGAGATTTGCGGAAATTTACTCGATGCTATGGTTGCAGGAACTGATACTGTAAGTAAACTTTTTTTCTTCTTCAAAAGATATTCAATTTTTTTCATAAAATTTTCATTTCTAATTTAAAAATCCTTTTTAAAATTAAAGACGGCGAATATGCTTTGCTTTGTCATATATTTTCTTGAAAAAAATCCTGAAGTGAAACAAAAATTACGACAAGAATTTGATTCGATTCTCGGAAATGACTTAACTAAACCTATGACATTAAAAAATATTGAAGAATTAAAATATTGCGATGCAGTTATTAAAGAAGTATTTCGTCATATTCCTGTAGCATTTTCGTTAGGTCGTTTAAGTATTGAAAATGATATGGTTGGAGGATATAATTGGCCAAAAGGAACTCAATTTCAAATACATACATCTGCATTAATGATGCGTGATGATTATTGGACTGATCCCGAAAAATTCGATCCAGACAGATTTTACAAAGTTGAAGAAAGTGATAAATATTTACTTGAAAAACAACATGCTAAAAATTCTTTTATGATGTGGGGAGGTGGAATTAGAATTTGTCCAGGAAGAAAATTGGCAATCACAGAATTAAAATGTTTAATACCTTTGATTTACAGGAAGTATGATCTTGAATTAAGATCACCTCTTGAATATAAATCTGAAATTCTTACATCTTGTGAAAAATTATTAGTTAAAGTTAAACCAAGAAAATTCTAAACAAATTAGAAATTTTCAATTATTTATTAATTTTTACATATAGAATAGCATAATTTTATATTATTTAATTATCATTAATTCCAATGCATGAATCAGTATAGAATTTTTTTTCTTTCAATTCTCTTGTAAACTTATCATTCAATTTATCATTCATAAATTTTATTGCATTACTAAACAAATAAAAAAACAACATATCATCTTGGTATATATTTTTAATTATAAAATGTATAATGCGCCACAAAATTATTTTTATTGTTTAACGTTAACGTTAAGGAAATATAATAAATTTTACGATAAATATACAGCAACTTTTTTTTTAGCCCTTTGTATAAAAAAGCAATTATAATGCAAATTGTACATTTACATTTAAATACTGAAAAATTACGGAAATGTTTTAAATTAGAACGAAGTCCATTTTTTCATCATCTTATAGTAAATATATAGAACAAGGATCTAAGGACATAATTTTTTACATAAACTTTGCAATTCGATCACCATTTTTGTACGACCAGGTTAAATCCAATGCCGATATGCGTCAACTTTACATACGATTTATGTGAAAAATAGCTCTAAAAAGTGATTTTTTTTTTACAATAAAACTTTAAAGAATTTTTTTTATTTTTTTTATAATTATAGTTTGAATCAAATATTTAATGTGATATTTTTAACTTTATGTTCTTTATGTTTCTAACATAATTATTCCCAATAATTGTTGCACGATGGTACTTACAGACACATTAATATATTAATATATTAATGTGTCAATATCTTTACCTTAAGATTTCTCGTAGCTTATTATTTCGCATGATTTTTTTATTTTTATAATTCACTTGAATCTTTGTTATTAAATTTATCTCGTTCGATAATAAAAGGATTTTATGTTATAATATATTATATACAATGATGTTTAATTATATATTCGACAAGCAATTTATTTTAATACAATTATTAAATAAAATAAAAATATAAAAGATATAAAAATTAAATTATTTCATACACAAACATTTTTAAATCCGTTCATTGATCTTCAAATTCTTTTTCCACTTTTATTTCTCTTTTTCGTAAGCCGTTCCCTTTTAACAACATTTTGATTATCATTCACTATTATTCTCTTTTCTTATCAAATTTTACTAAAATAATAAATAATTTCGGAAATTTTTGAATTTTCTAATTCTTTTTTTTTGTTATAATCTTTTAAACTTTTTTCATATTTCTTTGATTTTTGAAGATGGAATTTGGTCGATCACTACTCGTGTTTGTCTCTCTTTTTCGTGAAATCAAAATTTATTTCTCTCTTTTCTTATTAAATATTTTTAATAAAAAGATTTTTCTTAATGGCAGCCTGTATTTTTGTGTAAAGTCTTCATGTTTAGTTTTTTATCAGATTCTTTTGTTAATTATTTCATCTTTTAACTATATATATATTTTTTTTTTAAAAAAAAAAAGCCAACCTGAAAAAAAGAAAAGTGAAAAAAAAAAAAATTTTTAGGTTTTAAATAAAACCAAACCGAAAAACAAAAAAAAAAAAGTTAAAAAATTTCGGGTTTAAAAAAAAAAACCCCGAAAAAAGGAAAAGTTTGAAACCAAATTTTTTCCAATGACAGATCGCATCTCCAAAACGATGATTTATTTATATAGAAGGGTTATTCTAAACATCAAAGACTTTTTTTTAGTAGTTATATATATTTACGTAAAAAATAAACAAATTATATGTGTGATTTATAAATTCATAAAATTTTATATGAAAAAATTTATATTGGAATAGAGTTATAGGACATTATATGGACTTATAAGAAATACGGTTTTAGTACGAAATCTCGAAAATCATTTGAACGACTGACACAAGACCGACAACAAAATCTCGACAATCCAAAATCTTGACAAATCAAAATCCTGACAAATTATTATACCGACAAGTTGATTATCCGAACAACTTTATAAAATTTACCATATTTAAACTAAATATTACATAATGCAACAAATTATTTTATTAAAATACACATCATTAAAAATGAATTGTCAGGATTTTGTATTGTCGAGATTTTGTCGTCGATCTTGTGTTAGTCGTGCAAGAGATTTTGATCGGATACCAGAAATACAACTGCTGATCTGAATTTTCAAGATTATAATTTGTTAGGGTTGTGAATGTCAGGTTTGTATTGTGACGGGATTCTGATCGTCAGGGTTCTAGCCATCTCCCTTTTCACTATATAAAATTTAGTAAATTTAGTACATTTAATATTGATTTCGTAATTCATTTCAATAAATTTGAATTACTAATTCTATGTATTCTTTCTTACTCTTTCCTCATCCTTTCCCTTTTCATTTACCATATCTCGTTCCTCATTCGATATTCAACATTTAGTGTGTAGTTGAGATTTTTCCATATTGGTAATGTAGTAGATAGTCCTCTAATAATGTATCAAATAATATGATATCAAATGCTAACTGAAAATGAACATTGGCAATGACTGAAAAAATATAACGTAGTAGGTAATGATAAATTAACATTACTTTCTAAGTAAATATGAGAAACACGTTTTAATTACATGCTTTTAATATTTATGAGGGATAATGTTTGCTGATCGCTTAAGGACCGTTTAAATTTCCCAACGCTGGTCTCACGATCACGTGTTGTGCATAACTCTACATAACTTTGGACAAACCTGGCAGGCAAATGTCCTGTCGGGAAGAGAAATACCGTATCTGGTCACTTTCTTTCAGATTTAAAATTATTTACTTTTCTAAATTCAAGTATAATAAAATCAGTGAATATTAAATTAAAAAAGCCATACTAATAGAATTTTGACAATAGTTGAAATGTAAATTGCTGTAGTAGATCGGCCCATAATAAACCCATTTCGGTGTAATTATTTAGTCATTAAGGGGTAATAAAATGAAATATTCGAGTTTAAATAATATTCGTAAATGTTTCAGTTCTTAACCAAACAGGTCTATTTGAATGATGATAGACATGTTATTAAAACATACCAATAATGGATGTCTAATATGATAATCTTTTTCTTATACTTTTACAATCTGAAATTTTACATATAAATAAACTAGCAGAATCACAACTTCTATGATAGTTATTTTCATTATACAAACAACTCATTAATCATGAAACTTATAATTTTTATTATTGTATTATTTCTTACTTTCTTCAAAACTTTTGCTTTTAAATCTTTTGACAACTGTTACGGTAAGCTATCTAAAGAACAAAATTTTCACTATTTATCCAAGTTAGTTAATTTAATAATTAATTCTTTTTATGCTATTCTATTATAATAAAAGATCATGGAAGTATAATTGAAAGTGTTCGGTTCATAGTAGAAGGGCTGGTTGAATTAAAATTAGTTCAACCAGATAAAACACAAGTCCCATGTTGTTTGCAACAGGGAGTAATGATTATTAAAGATTACATGATTTATAAAGATGATGGCTCAAAAGATCCACTTTTTACTTTTGTGGGAGATCGTACATGGGTAAATGGGTACGATAGGAGTAATATCTTACATAAGATTTATTGTAATAATAATAGCTTTAATTGTGATTCACTTTATGAAGGAGATTATGAATATACACGACTTGACAGTTATGATACCTCAAAATTAACTCGGGGAGATGAAATTATAGTGTCACTGACTACATATTCTCATTGTTATTATTCCTCTGAAACAATTTGCTTAGGTTCTTGCAATCCTGTATTCCATATTCCTTATTTTCCACCAATCAATTCATCTTTATCAGATTAGATATATAATTACTTAATTTAATTCTCGTGTTAAAATTGGTTATTATCATTATTTTTGACATCTTGAATCTTTTTTATTGTAACGAAATATGAAAAATTATTATAATTAATTATAAAAACATATTTACTTATGTATGTGATTTTAATTTTGGATGAATAAAAACCTTATAATTTTTTGTATACTCGAAATAAGCATTATTTCAAAACTTTAAACGCTAAAAAAGATATCTATTAAAAAAATTTTTATTCGATGCTTTATTTGAGACAAAAAGTTTTTTTATAAAAATTTTTTTTTACAATTCGAACATTTTAACAATAATAGTGTATCGACAAAAAGTATGATTTATTTTTTAAAGTTTTTTTTTTAATTTTGGGATCAACAAAAAAATTTTTTATACGATTTATACGAACAAAAAAAAAAAAAAATATTCAAATATTTTCTAGTGAAATTAATTAATTATTTTATTAAAAAGAACTAAAAAAAAATAAAAAAAAAAGGAAAAATATTATTTATTTTAGCAAAAAATTAAAAAAAAATTTTTATTTTATGTTTTATAGAATAAAAAAATACAAACGTTTTTTAATTTTAATTTAACGTGGTGACACAGGCAACTACCGTAATTGATTTTAAATTGCTTAAAAATAAAAAACGTTTTCGCAACGTTTTTTGTTAAAACAATTAAAAAACGTTTGCGAAAACTTTTTTTTTTATTAAATTACACGGTTTCGCAACGTTTTTTTTGTTAAAATAATTAAAAACGTTTGCGAAAAACTTTTTTTTTTGTGATTCAACGTTTTTTTCTATTGTCGGGGACTTCGCCCCCATACTAATAATAAATTACATTATTTTATTATGAAATGCAGTATTTTAAGAGTATTACTAAATCTTACTGCGGGCGATTTTACTGGTGATTTTCATCACATAAATATGGCCAAAATATAATTCCGGCCAAAGTTTACGTACCATAATAAAATGGTTTTGACTATTTTAGTTATTAACCTACTTTTGTTAAATAGGTCACTTTTTTTAATTTTTATAATAATAAAATAATTGAGCAATTATCATTAAAAATAATAAAAATTTTTTTTAATTTAGAAAAAGAAATTAGCAAATTTTCTATTAAAAAATAATTTTTTTTTTTTCAATTTTTATAAAGAAATTGCCCAATTTTTTATTATAAAATGATTAGCAGCTACCTGCTGTTACTTTGCACCATATGGGTCTGGTTCACATTACCGACAATCATATTACCGACAATCATTTTACCGATATAATTTTAAGTATTGTAATAAAATAATTATTGTTTATTTATTATTGTTTAAAATAAAACTTTTATTGGTTTGTTAGTATTTATTATTAATTGAAATAATATACAGTACATTATTATATTCAATTAGCATTTTGAAATACTCAATAATTTTCTTAATTTAGTTTATATAATTTGCTTTTTTTGTAAGCATTCTAAAGAACAATTCTAAGTACAACATATTATGAAGCTGAAATAAATTTTTTAAAAAATAAAATTGATAAAATTAAATATTAAATTCAAGTTATTTTATTATGTATAAATATCATAGTATTTTACATTTTGTTATATATTAATCAATTTTTTATTTTATATATTATGGTAAATTCTTTTATATTAAATATGTATTTTAATTTTCATAACTGAAGTGGGTAGTGAAATAGTAATAAATACTGTAAGTGTTGATGGTAAAATGAGTGTCAGTAAAATGATTGTCGGTAATATGATTGTCGGTAATATGATTGTCGGTAATATGAAATGTGAACGGAATTTTTCTCGGAATAATTTTTTACGTAAAATCACGTGACTTCGATTCAAATGCAAATTGCTACGCTCTTAATACTTTTCCTCTTCCTAACCTTATTGGTCCTTCTTCTTCTTCTTATTCTTTTCCGTCTTCTCTTCTTTCCGTTTCGAATTTTCTGCCCATGGCGATTCCAATATCGGTCGTTTCTCTCCAATCTCTCTTTCATCGGTCATATAGTTTTCGTCGAGTCGTTTTTGGAAATCATTGTTGAGCGTGGTGTATTCTTGCAGAATCTCATTTTGTTCCGCTAAACTGATGATTTTCTGTTCCAAGAGAAGAAAATTGTTTTCCTTCATCACCCAGTTTTTAAATTCCTGACTTTTATCCTTCGTTCGCATCGAAACCGTTTTCGACCCTTACTATAGTTGCGGCTTCTGCTTGTATCTTCTCCCATTCTATCTCGTTGTTGACTGCCTCAAAAATTTCTTCCAGCTCTGTTATTTTCTCTCTTAACTTTGGAATTTTATCATCCTCCTCGTTTGTCGGTACCTTATAACGAGCGTATTTAATTTTCATATCTTTGTTCGCTCGAAGTTCTTTTACGATATCGACAACCTCATCCGTTGCTGCATTACCACGCTTCAAGGGTTTACTAACCGATTCTTCCAATATGTTAAACTCAAGATCTCCTTCGCTTTCATCACTATACTCTGAGTATGCATCCTTTTCTCTGATTCGCCATTTCTTAATCATGTTCACGATTTCCTCTTCAGCCAGACTATTTCCTTCGACCATTTCTTTAAGGGCCTTTTCCGTCAATTTTTGATTCCTAGTCGTCATATTTGATAGCCCCAAATATATCCTATTCGGCGGCGTCTGCGGTGTCGGAACAAAATTTATATTAAATAGTAATTATGATGATACTTACTAAAATATGGGGAGGATTATTAAAAATATTAATTAGATCGGCACCAATTTGGTAGGAAATTCAAATTTTCTTTAGAAATGTTGGAGGAATTCTCAGAAAATTGTTAGGTAGACGTGCACTTTCCATATTTACTATTGATTCTAATTACATAGAAGAGGATTATACAAAATAATCAATAAATATAAAAGTAATAGAGTAATCAAAGATTTTGAATAATCGCGTTATGATTATGGAATTAGTAAATTATTTTAAACATTATTTTTGGGCTTTTAACTGTATTATTATCATGAATTAATCGTAAGCAAGTAAGAAATTTCTACTCTATGTACTTTTAATATACTAAGTAGTATGTACCAATTGTACCATGTATGAGTTCTACTGTTATAAAAAATAGGAAAATTATTTTTGTATATAATTTTAGGTCAAACAATTTCTGTCGCCATACTTTGAAAATGACAATTTTTATCAATTATGAAAATTTTATAGGTATTATCACATAAATTAATCAACAGATAAATGGGTAAATAAATATAATCAAATGAATTTTAATGAATGAAGTTTCTTTTTTTTTTAAAGAGAAATAAAGTATAATGAATGTTAACTTTTATCATACTTACCAATATGATTTGAATTTTTAATAATGCAGATTAGAAGCTAATAAAATCTGGAAAAATTCAAATAACGAACGAAATTGCAAGTTCATCCAACTTCGATTAAGTTCTTTTTATTTTTTTTAAAAAAAAAAGTCATTTGACATTTTAATTTTGAGACTTCTTTTTTAGATAACTTAAAAAAGAAATAATACAAATATTTTGTCACCTAATTCAATTGCATTAACATGATCAATATTCCAATGGAAGAAACAATATACACCCACCTGCCAAAAGTATCCGGACACTTCTAAAAATTGACCATTAAATCACATTATTTCGACGTCCAGTGATCAGAATTTAACGATTTATGATTCATTGGATTCGTCTAATTGAGGCGCATCTAACCGCAGTATTTTCAAGTCTGTAAGTTCAATAGATCAGAAGTTATTGCGGAATGTCTAAAAACAGTAAAATGCAAATAACTTTTGATCCATCAATTATAGAGACATGAAAATAATAGATACAATGTACC